ACATCAGTAAAGTTATTCCAAACATCAACAGTACTAAACTTATTTATACACTCATCATAGAATCCATAAACTTGTGTAATTTGTCTACTCTCATGATTTCCTCTCAACAAAAATATTTGATCTGGATATTTAATTTTTAAACATAACAACAGTGAAAACACCTCAACAGAGTGCATTCCTCGATCAACATAGTCACCCATGAAAAGAAATTTTGTATAAGGCGGGAGACCTGCTATTTTAAACAATTCAATAAGATCATAAAATTGGCCATGTATATCACCACATATAGTTACAGGTCCAAGCACATTGATTATATTATCTTCTTTACTTAGTACCTCAATAGCAGTATTTGTAATAAATTCAACTTCTTTTTCTGTGGGGGTTTCACAAGCAAATAACTTTTCTAATAGTTCATCAAGCATTATAAATAAGGGTTACAAATTTTTAAATATGATTTAGACATAAAACCTCGTTTAAGACTTATAAATTACATACTTAATTTAAATTATAACAAACTAACAATTAAAAACTGATTGTGTTTATTTAATGAGAACAAAATATTTATAATTTTCTTAGACAATTTTATAAGAAAAAAATTTATATGCCCATTAAAATGAACAGTGACAACAAACTAGTAAAGCTTATAGAGAAGATGTATCCCAATATAGAAAAGGCTGAAGTACAAAGATTGTTATCCGATATGAGTCTAACACAGAATGACATGTGCGGTTTGTTGTTGTATCTTTGTGATCATCCTTTGAGTGATTGGCAGCTTAAAGAAATTTTGAATGCTGTGTCAGAAAGAGTTGATAATATAAACTGGAGATTGATATATGAGATTATACTGGATGGGAATGAAAAGGTATGTAATGTGGAATACTTAGAAATGTTAATTAAGTGTTGGGTAACTATATCAGGAATAATAACTGTTCCATATGAAATATTTTTTAAGAAGGTAAAGATGCTCCCTAAGAATGTTCATGACAAATTTTTTAAATTGATAATTGATAACAGCACAGGAACCGTTTCACTCTACTCAAATATATTTTTTAAGAGATTGATATCACATGATGAGTTTAAAGTTAAGTTAAAAAAGAATATTACTTATGAATCTAATTTAAACTGTAATGAGTTATTTGATGCTATAGAAGATTCAGCAGATTTGATAGAATACGTCAAACTGAAAAGTCCCGAATATTGTACAATTGGTTTATCAAAAATTTTAATGAAAAAAGTATGTGATAAGTCTAACTGTGATAAGAACTGTGAACATAACTATGAACATAGAAAGGTATTTCTAACCCTGTTTAAGCAATATTCTGAGAATACAACTAACCATTTCGTATTTCATATACTATTTGCTAGAATGGAAAAAAGTATTTTCTTTTATATGGAAGAGGTAGAGTTGACATTGACGAAAAGTTTGGATTTGTTGTTAGAACATAAAGCTTTATCATTACTTGCCGATACTTTAAAACCTTATAAGTTTTGCTGTGATATAGTAATTTTGAGTAGTAGAAGAGATCATTTAAATTTAGAATTTTGGTTAAATAATATAAAAGATATACATAGGTTTGTTCAATACCTTCATCATAAAATTTGTGTGCTTTCAAATGGCATGTTTCCTTTTACAAGACAGATTGTTGCGGCAGTTTTAAAAATAGTTGAACAAAGAATAAATGATTCAAAGGAATTAAATCGTGATGTTCTTAAAGATATAAATGACATGATAAATGAGATAGTTTTGATTAATGCTGATACTGGATCATCAAGGGATAAAATTACTGCATATTTAACAGACATTATTCAATCAAATTTACAGATAGAGGATATTATAAAGAAATTAACTGAATATATGAAAAGTGATGAGCAAGGAGTTAGTAGAAGTGTTCTCACTGTCTTTATTGAAAATTACAAAGGTTTTTATAAATTACCTAATTCTGATGTTGTTGCTAAGTTGTATGGAGAATTGATTAAGAGACAATATGGACTTAAAAGTTTTATTAGACAGTCAATTTCATTAGTTAAACAATCACTGGCCAATCCCAAGAATGATAAGGAATTTTCATTTGCATTTAAAATACTTGAAGTTTTTTATAATGACAATCCAGATGAATTTAAAGAACTTGAATCAATGGAAAATTTGGTACTCGGATTAATTAAGAAAGAGTTGATTATAATTGATGAAGACTCTAAAAACAACCTTTCAATTGAACAAATTGTTAAAACAGTAACTGGTATTGAAAATTATAATAAGTCACTTTTAAATAGTTTTAACGAATCCACTTCTGTTAAAGCAACTCAAAATGAGATTATTGCTGTTATTCTGATTAACCTGACTAAAGATAATATTTCATTTGTTAAATTTGTTAATAAACAGAACCGATCGTTTTACAATGCTTTGGTTGGATATTCATTTGCAGTTCTTAATCAGATGTTACAGTGCTCATTTAGTGATGAAAATAATTATGTGAGTAATTTGGGTGTCTTTTTAGGGAAAATAATTTTAGCTAAAAATAGACCAGTTCAGATAGAAAATTTTGATTTAGAGAATTTTATACTAAACACAGTTGAATACAAAAGAGTAACAATATCGGTATTGTTTACTACTAAATTCCTTTTACAGGGGTTGGAAGGTGATATTTATATTCCTAATAATCCTTGGTTGATGAAAATATTGTATTTAATGAGGGAATTATACTCTTGTACACTATTTGATATAAGAAAGTATATTTTAGAGTTATTTAGAGGATTTGGTATAAAATTGATAGGAGTTAAACCAATTCGAATAATAGGACCACTTGCACCATATAATTTTAATCTACTTAGTTCTCTTGATACCTCTAACGATTCAAATTTAAAAATAGACAAAAATTTTATAATTAAGGTTGCTGTTATATCATTTGACTTTTCAATCAGAGAAACAGCAAGTCTTATAGTTAATAACGCTTTGAAAATATGTGCTCGATTAGCGTTGTATTCGTTTAAACGATATTCATTGTCTAAGTTTTATTTAAAAAACTTCTTTATCAATACAATACAGAGTTTAGTAATGGTTAATTCCCATGATATAGTTAAGAAGTCTCTTAGTGATAATGTGTCACATTTTATGAAAATTGGATGTATTTCTATCAAAGAAAGTACTATATTGTTATTAATTAAAGATAATCTTCAAATAGTCATTGATGTAGTTAAAGAATCAGCTGTGTCTACAGTAATAGATAAACTTGATGATTTATATGAGTGGATAGAAAGGAATAGAAAAATAGCTGAGGAATTTAATACCTTAAAAATTAATCAGAATAATGATATGGCACTTGATTGTCTTATTGGTAACTCAACTTATATGAAGAAGAGACCACTTAGAACAATTGAAAATAATGAGTACCAAGAAATTAGGAGTTTGCTTATTCAATTAGGAAGAAAGATTCCTATTAAGAAGAGAGATTTTATTACAGAAGAATTTCCAATGATTCTTAAAGATAGAAGATATCAGAACTTTAGAAATATTATTTCCCATATTGAGACAAAAAGTATAAATAAGGATGAAGATTGTTTGAATTTAGCAAAATATCTTGTAGGACATGCAATCTCAACTAATTGTGAAGAAGATTTTATATTTGAATTTTTATCAGTGGTGTTTTCAATGAGTCCAGGAACAATGAGTGAAACTGTAGGGTGGTTGATTTATTCAGATAGTGAATCAAGAAATATAAAGTTAACAAAGAAGTTTATAGAAAATGACTTTGTTTTTATTGAGGAATACGACTCAGCATTAGCAAGATCAATACCTAAGGATGAAACAGGTGCTACAATGGAACATTCAATTAGCTTGATTAGTGAGGTTGTATTAGGAGATGATACTATTTGTTCAGTTTATAATTTTATAAGAACTGTTGAGGCAATAGCTAGAAATATGAATATGAGTTTAAATGCAAATGATTTTCTTAAGAAACTTGAGAGTAAAATGATTGATTTTGGTACCAGCAATGAGAAAGATATTTTTAAAGAATTTGTTATGAAAAATAATATGAATGTGCCATTTAAGCAATTACATTGTAAATTTAAACAATTGTATCAATTAGAAGATTTTAGATTCTTGACAGCTTTAAAGAATGCATGGCAGCATTTTATATTTTATAGTGGTGAATATGCTTATTTTAAGGTTGATATTCTAGCACATCTCATAAAACATGATGCATGTTCATTTATCTATTCAGCTCTAGAGATTTTATTACAAAGTATTGAGAAAAGAGTTTATGTCTTTAATGTGTTTTTCTGTAGATTCTTTGTTAAATTTTTAGATTCAATATCATCTGAGACACTAACATCACAATTATCTCATCACTACAGGGTATTTACATTTAAAGTTATAGAATTGCTAACACCTTCAATAGTGCCGGTATTTACAGCTCAGTTCTTAGAAATAGTTAATCATAGTTACTTTAATAGTAATTCAGATGTTGAAAATCTTTTCATTATAAAAGAACTATTAACATCATTGAATTACAATCTTAAGCTTGAAAGATCTATATTTGATTATTTGATTAAACCTGAGAGAACTGTATTTCTTAAGAAGTATAATACCTACTTATCTTTCTTATGTCCTAATCATTGTATAAATATTAAGAACTTATTTAATCGAGGTCCCAGATCACCTACTTATAATTCATACAACTGTTACTTTACTAAGAATGGTCAACATCACAATTTTATGGATGTCATTGATTTTTGTGAGTCTAACAACCATGATCAGTTGAAATATTTCCTTAAGAAGTTTCCTAAAGAAACAATATTTTCTATTGTTATCAGATATTATGGTAGAATGCCATCTGATAGTATTTGTAAAGCATATGAAGAAGCTTGTAAAATAGATAAAGATTATGTTAGCAGTATAGAAACGAAATATTCTTTTATAAATAAATAAATGTTATTAGAAATTTATTTACTTTTTAGCTTTCTCTATTAATTTAAATTGCATCACTTCAATAAGCTTCTTTTGCTTGATTATTGTTTCACTTTGTAGTTTATCTTTGTCTAATAATTTTCTTACTTCATCATTAAACAAAATCAAATTCTGTTTATACTTAAAATTCTTTTCTGTTAACTTTCTTAAATCTTCAGTTGAATTGATATTTTCTTGTCTTAGTTTTTTAATAACTTCTTGTAATTCTTTATTTTCTTTCTGTAAGGATTCCACATTATTAGCTTTAAAATAATCCTCTTTAATCGTTATTTTAGAATTTAAATCAATAATTTCACTTTTTAACTTATCAATTTCTTTATCCTTACCATTTAAGATGGATGCACACCTACTTATTAAATCATTTTCTAACCGTGAATCTAAAACAGTGTGTTTAGATAAAAGTGTGATTAAATTATCTTTCAATGAATTAGCATCCTCAATTAACTTTCTATTCTTTAAATCATTATCAATGTCAATTTTACTTATTCTTTCATACAAT